CTGTTCTTGCAGCAGCAAAGAGCTTGTCTGTTGCTCACACCCATTGCACATGACTAATACACACCTATGTACACGCGTGTGCTCATTCCCCCAAACTGTATATGGTGATCTCCTTACTCGTTGAAAATGCCGAGATGAGTGAGTTCAGCGGATTCACATGTTTATTTCTAGAAGCTTGGAAATACATTATATAAAGCTCATGCTTCCAAATAAAACATTAAGGTAAGCTTCATCCAGGACCGGAGAACAGGCTTGATACTGGATAAGCAATATCTGAACACTCCTGAAGCCAGATTAAGTTTTTAAGCAGTTGCTAAGAAATTAATGAGGTTTAATGTGACCTATTTAGGAGAAACAGTTCTTTGTTGAGTTCTGTTAGAAGGCATCTCTGCCTGCGGGGGTAAAGTCCTATCTTCTTACCCTTTCTTCCCTTTCCCCTTGGTGCTGGGGATGTAACCCAAGGCCTTGCACATGCTCAGTTAGCACTCCACCAGTTAGCTACCCCAGGCCACCTTATCCCCCTTGACTGGATTACTTCTGTCTATGTAAGTAAAGAGATAATACAGAGAAAAAAAGTACAAAATGTACTAACACTGCAGGCGCAGAATTAGAGGGAAGACTGTCACCTCTGCCTTTATTGAATATTTAGCTAAAACACTGTGGTGTATGGTGGCCCTCTGGGCACAGAAGACGTCTCCCCTTCCTTGGATGTTGCAGGATCTCCAATAGCTAAAAGCAGACATAGTCTGGGTCCCTGACTCACCAGGCCTCATAAATGCCCTTCCCCTCTCCATGGTCCTTTCAAGATGATTCCTCATTTGAGAAGTACTGGATAAACTTACAAAGTCCTGAGATGTCCACCAGCTGAACAATGTAGATGGCTGATGGATGTTAAGTAGCTGCCAGGGTGGCCTGACCACTCCCAGTGAACCACAAATGCTGATCTCAGAATTTCTGGCACTTTCTAAAATGTGGCTGAGCAGTAGTTTGGAAGCCTAACCCCTGACTTTACGAATTCATAAGAACCCGGTTTTATAAACTCAACAGAAAGCTAAATAAACAAAGCCAGGGCTTATACTCCTTGTTATTTTTACAGCAGTCTTTCAAACTAGTTCCTCATAGTCAATTTCTACCTCCTTAAGAACTACTAAAGGGGAGCAGTTTCAAATAACCACCAGACACTGTAATCCACCATGTGGGAACAGCTCATAGACAGACCTCTCGTGTGGAAGGGTGCAGACAGCTTTCATGCTGGCACACAGGCCTCTCTCTCCCAGCCTTCTCACTGAGGAGGGCCCGGGAACTTTAGAGACAAAGACGCTTATACTTACCCAGAAGTGTGCATGGCAGTTGACCATCATGGTTCTCTCGATGAGCTCATCAGGGCATTCCAGAAGGTGATGTCCAGAAACCACACCGGCATTATTGACCAGGACTGAGACCTCACCAACCTCCTTTCGGACTCTTTCAGCTGTCAGGTAGACATTCTCCCTCTTTCCCACGTCACAAGTGTAGGTAAAAACCTGCAAGTTACATGGGGGCAGGATTTCCTCCTCACCATTCCCAGCTGTCCGCAGAAGTCCAGATGAGGGGAAGAAAGGAAGAAAGGAGGGGTGCAGAACATGAGCCACATGGCCGTCAGTAGGACAAAAATCATACAAAGCAAAAATACTACAGTGAGCTTCAAATTTCTAACACTGTCATGCTTGCCAATAATTCAGCTTACAGCTGCCTTCCTCCCCTGCAAGTCTTTGGGAATTACAGCAATTTACTGGACAACCTTGCTTAGGGGAAAGTCATGTAATTGTGGCAAGTCCAATGCAAGTAGACCACATGGGATCAACTTGCTGGAGCGAGACACCTGCAAAGAACTGATCTCAGCCCAGAGAATAACACACATTACACATTCCTGTTTTCAGATGGGGGTGGGGAGGAAGCCGGTGGCTAGAAAGAGCTCTGCCCTGAAGTCAGAAATTCCCTTCAAGGCTCCCAAATCCAAACTATAAGCAACAATCTGAACTCACTCAAAGCCAAGAAATGAATGACAAGTTTCTAATGAAAGAATGCAGGCCACTGGTCTGTCTTAAAACTGAGTCCCCTAAGAATTATTCTCACAGATGAAATGTAGAGATTAATAATGTGCACGTTTACCACATTAGAGTCCAAGCAGCATCAAAATCAAAGTCCCTTCCCTAAAAATGAGCGTTGCTTTCTTTTAGGTTTGGGCAGGTAGCCTCTCCATACTAGCTTTGAAAACGTAACATTTTGAACCTTGCATAAAGAACACAGGTTCAGTAAGTTTGGTAACAAATGACAGGAGGAAGATAGAGCCCAAGTCAATCGAGCCATCAGATCTCCTAGACCAATAGGGACAGTTGCTTATGATCTCCACTTAGGCTTTTAAAAAAAGGTTCAGATGCACACGTTGTTAAGCACATAAGATGCAGATTGGGGAGCCCCCAAACCATGAAAGAATTTTACAAAACGACTGAAATCATTGAAGCACTTTCTCAGGAGGAAAGGAAGCGCTCTCCTTTACTCAGGGTTGGTAACCAAAGCACTTGAGGCTGGGAAAACAATGTAATTATTTTCCCGGGGCTAAAGTTATAGTGAAACCATCCATAGGGCCCTAGTGTAGGCGGCTCAGACCTCACAGAAACAGAAAACAGATAACTGCTTCCAGTCCACTATGGTAACAACTTCCCAAAGACACTTCAGGTTCCCGTCATGCCACATGCAAGTCAGACTGAGAAACTGCTTTCGGATCCAAACCCGGGTAGCAAGTCCTCCCTGCCTTACACTCCTCACAGAGTTTAGGAAAGCCCAGCGTGGGGCCCGAAGAAACAGGATCTCCTATGTGACTGACTTTCAGTATTCTAACACAGTAAGAAAACCGTGCTCTCTTATCAAGGGGCAAATTCCACTGGCCTTCCAGAAGACCAATGAGGTGGTTTGTTTGTTTGTTCTTTTTCTCTTTTTCTTTTTTTTCCTGGAGAGCGAGGCTGCCCAAGACGGGCCGGTGTGTGGAGACCCTCCGGGATGGGGAGGTGTTTGACCCAACAATGCACGGGTCAGTTACCTTGCAGAGCGGCGGCGTCGGCTGCCTCCAGGTCCCGGTAGATGTGGCGCACCATGCCTGCGGTCTCCTCATTGCTCTGCGTGTTGATGTCCCAGAGAACCAGCAGCGCCCGGCGCCGGGCGAACTCCAGGGCAAAGAGGCGGCCCAGGCCGCTGCCCGCGCCCGTGATGAGGCACACCTGGCCGGCCACGCTCTTCTCCTTGGGCCGCACCAGCCAGCGCGCCGCGGCCAGCACGAACGCCCACAGCACTTTGAAAGTGACCACGAAGAACTCCACCACGATGTTCATCGCGACGCCCCCCCCCCCCTTCCCGGGCCCCTCACGAGCCCAGCACCGTGTCCTTACCCCTCCCTGAGCCAGACAGCCCAGCACCCTGCCCCGGGGGAGCTTGTCACCGCTCTCGGGACGCGAAGCCTTGCGCCCCGAGGTGCCGCGGGGCTGAAAGTGCGCGGGGGGCCAGTCCCGCCCGGGCTCGGCGCGGTGGCCCCGGGCTGCGCCTGCCGCTTGCCGCCGCCGCCGCCCGGCTCGGCGCCTCCTGCTGGCGGCCGCCCGCTCGTCCCACAGCCCCCGGCCGCCCCGGCTGCAGCGGCGGTGACAGCCGCCGAGTTAGGCGACGCGCGCTGCCCTCATGGCCAAGCCGCCGCCACCGCCACCGCCGCCGCCCCCCGAACGTCCCCGGCGCCGCTGCAAGCGGCTCCCTCTCCTCCCGGGGCAGGGGTGCTCCGGGCGGGTGGCTCGGGGTCGCGGGAGTTGTCAACTTGACTCAAGTTGCGGGAGGGTGCGGGCAGCGCCCGGGAAGTGGGCGACCTGCGGGGCGCACGCGAGGGCTGCCCAACCGCTCGAGCTGCCGGCGCGGCTCGGGTCCCCTGCCCTGCACTCGCGCCGCTGTCACTCGGGCACGGGGGGACTTCCTCCGCAGCGTAGCCGAGCCCGAGGGTCGGAGCGCTCCCAGCCGGCTCTGAGCTCGCTTCGCACCCCGCGCTATATAACCCGCCACCGGGAAGCGCTGGCCGCTGCAGCGGCATCGGCCCTCCCTCCGCTCGGCCCTCCCCGCCCCCCGGGCGCACCCCGCCCCCGGCCCAGCCCCCCTCCCCGCTCCGCCGGCCACCCCGGCGCGGGGCAGCTCCTCTCTCTCCCCACGACCGCGGTCGGAGCCTCCCGCCCCCCTCGTCGCGCCTCCCCTTGACGGCTCACGCCCCCTGCCGTGGGTCTCCGAGGCTTGCTCCTGCCGGCTCCCGTGGCCGGCAGGGCACCCCCCATCTTCCTCGGACCGTCCGGCCATCGCTCTTCCCGGTCTCGCCACTCTTCGGCAGCCGAGACGGACTGTGGTCCGCCGCCTGCGATCAGGCGCTGCCGAAGACAGCCCCGCAGTCGGGCGGAACTAGGACCTCGGCAGCGCCGCCGAGGTGTGGCCGCGGGGCTGCGTGGCCACGGGCGGCAGAGAGCCCGCAAAAGTGGCCGACGGTGACCCCGAATCTCAGCTAGCCGCTGGAGACGTGAAGCCCTAGGCGCTAGTGAGCCTAACGGGAAACGCGGCCGCGAAGGGTGCCCAGAGTCCGGGTCAATGTCGCCCTCCAGATCGCGGGCTATGGAGTGGTGCATGCTGGGACTTGTAGTTCCCACTCCATGAACGTGCCTTTTGGTTCCAAGAATTCCGCAGGGCTGGAGCCTGACGTAGTCGACGCCACCCGAGGCAATTAAGCCCTGAGCTTACAAGGTGTTCTCGCTCTCTTGATTAAAAAAAAAAAAAAAAAAAATGTACTCAGTGCATTTGTTTTCTTATGAGTTTTACTCTAAAGCTGATTGGCTGTGACCAAGACAAACTTGTTAATTTTGCGCCTGCAAAGTGAGCTCTCAATTCTAGATTCTTTTCCGGCTTATCTTAAGACGACTATTAGTCGTGGGGGCCTCGCGCTCGCAGACCTTTAAGGAGCCACTGCGCATGCACCAGCTTCCTTTTTTTTTTTTTTTTACCGGCTGCCACCATGGAGGCCGTACCGTAAGTAGATTCTCCTCTTCTCCGGAATCCTCCTCCATCCCCGAGACTGGCGACGTTTTGTTTCACTTTTCCTGTATCTAAGTGTAGCCTGCACCGCTGCCTGCCTGTCTGTGTGTTTGTGACGTTGTGTGTGTCTAAGAGGATGTGCGGGTGGCCCAGGCGCGGAGGCCTCGGGAATACCAGGAGCAAACTGAGTGCAGCCGGTACTGAGCCGGCCACTTGGGCGGAGGAGGTCCATTCTGTGGAATGTATTCCGAGGGATCCTGGAATGGAGTTCCTTCATGGTTAAAGTTGGCTTGGGCGTCTGCCGACCGGCCAGGCCACCTACAACATGCGGTGCTTGCGACTTGACCGAAGGGTAGTCAAGTCCCGGAGCCTTAAGCGGTAGTATGTGTAGCAATTTCTCTACACTATTTTCTGCTAAGAGTCCAGGACTGATGACCGGAAATAGGCGTAAGAGTCCTTCAATGCCATGCGTGTTTGCCTTTAAGTAAGGCCTGTATAAAAGGTGGAGGCTGTGGGCATGGAGGAGCATGCGGGAACAGCCAAGATGCTGGTGGTTAGAGTGGGTGATAGTTTTTTTTACAGCACCGGGAGGTTTTGACCTGTTACCAATATTACCTGCTAATGACAGAGAGAAGAAAAAGAAGGTTCCTGCCGTGCCAGAAACCCTTCAGAAGAAGCGAAGGAATTTCGCAGAGTTGAAGGTGAAGCGCCTGCGGAAGAGATTTGCCCTCAAGACGGTAAGTAAGCTTTGGAGGCCCTTTGGGATGGGGGTGAGGGGGGCAGCTGATGTTGTGCTGTCTGTATGGGATCAGAGACTTATGACTAATTACTGGCCCTTGGTTTTCAGCTGCGAAAGGCACGGAGGAAGCTCATCTATGAGAAGGCCAAGCGCTATCACAAGGAGTACAGGCAGATGTACCGGACGGAGATTCGGATGGCCAGGATGGCAAGGAAAGCTGGAAACTTTTACGTCCCTGCAGAACCAAAACTGGCGTTTGTCATCAGAATCCGAGGGTAAGTTGACATTGACAGCTGTGGCTGTAGCTAGGGAGACTGGGAATTAGTTGAGGGCTTATTTTAAGACCTGTGTGCCTAAGCTGTGATTGCATGGTTCGGTATCCTGCAGTAGTCTAAGAGCTTAAAATGTAACAGGTTATGAATCAAGTTGGTAGTAGTGCTACTCAGTTGGGGCTTTCATACTGTTTATTGTTATTTAAAATGATGGTAAAATCCGGATTACCGTCTTCTGGTCTCTTTGGCAGTATCAATGGTGTAAGCCCAAAGGTTCGCAAGGTGTTGCAGCTTCTTCGCCTTCGGCAGATCTTCAATGGCACCTTTGTCAAGCTCAACAAGGCTTCGATTAACATGCTGAGGATTGTGGAGCCGTACATTGCATGGGGGTAAGTTTTCTGTTTGGTAGGTTAGTTTTATGACAAGGTGAAGTTAGGTAGTTAGGCTGTGTCCTTATTTGATGGCTTACCTGGTTTTCGTGTTGCAGGTACCCCAACCTGAAGTCTGTGAATGAGCTCATCTACAAGCGTGGCTATGGCAAGATCAATAAGAAGCGAATTGCCTTGACAGATAATTCCTTGATTGCTCGTTCTCTTGGTAGGTTATGCTTTTCGGGGTGAGGGGTTGATGCTAAAGCAAGGTCCTGTTTTCTGGCCACAGTTTTACTTTTTGTTTTTGCTTTGTATACATGTGGGTGATGGCCCAAAGGTGATGTCAGGTGTCACAGGGTGGGGCTAGATTCTTGAAATTCAAAATTATGTTCCACCCTAGCTTTTCCATCTTTTCATGGGCTGACATGACAGGCAGGACACCATGTCCATTTTGTGTGAGGGTTCTTTATTGGATGAAGTCCTGCAAACACTGTCATCTCCCGAGCCATTTCCCTAGCCTGGTTTCACTTAGGACAGATCTTTTATGTGTTCCCCACATCTTTGCTGCTTAAAGAGGCTACACATCCCTAATTGTGAGATGGGGTTTATTTATTTTTTTATCTCTTTATTTCTGGCCTGGAACTCAGATTGCCTTCCGTCCCATCTGATAGGATTAAAGGCATGTGCCACCATGCCTGTCTTGTCCTTTTTCATTTGATCTGAGGTTTTAATTCTGCCTATGATTGTGTTCATCGGGTACTTTTTTCCCCCCAGGTAAATTTGGCATCATCTGCATGGAGGATCTAATTCATGAGATCTATACAGTTGGAAAACACTTCAAGGAAGCAAATAACTTCCTGTGGCCCTTCAAACTGTCATCTCCACGAGGTGGAATGAAGAAAAAGACAACTCACTTTGTGGAAGGTGGAGATGCTGGCAACAGGGAAGACCAGATAAACAGGCTTATTAGACGGATGAACTAAGGTGAGAGAATTAGTTTTGTTTGTTTTTGTTTTTTTGAGACAATATATATATCTGTCGGTCAGAAAACTTACTGTGTAGACCAAGCAAGCTGGCTTTGAGGTCACAAAGATCTGCCTACCTCTACTTTGCAAGTGCTCAGATTAAAGGCATGCGCCATTCATGCTTGGCCAAGAACTAGTTTTCAGGGAGGACCTGTGATCTTGAATATTTCCTGTTAAATGTTAATTGGGTGTATCATTGAATTTTAATGTGGAGAAAATCTGTCTTTGATGGTATGCTCCTTTACAGCTGATGTTGACTTGTAGCTTGAAGGGCAGTTTCTAACTTGTATATGTTTTTTTTTCCTCCTTTCAGGTGCTGCCCAGGAGTTATCTATGACATTTTTTGTAATCTGGTCAGTTAATAAACAGTCACAGCTTGGCAAGATGAAATGTGTTGGCGTCTTTGTTGGCCTGCCTTTGGCATATCACTGTAGTAGTAAATCCTTGAATATGATAAAATTCAGATCAAAAGCCTATGCATGACAGCAAAACCAGTTCTAGTTCATATTTTTGAAAAACGATATATTGGTCTTCTATTTCTGTGCATGGATCACATGTGGAACTTGGGGTTGCTATGATTATGAGGCACCGTGTAGGTGTTGACTTAGGTTCTCTAGAAGAGCAGCCACTGCTTAACTGTTGAGCCATCTCTTGCCCTTCTGTTTTGATATTTGATCTTAGGTAGATGAGTTACAAGTACTTTTTAATGTATATTATATACTTATTTCAGAACATCATAAGCAGTTGCGGTGAGATTGAGCAAAACCTAAGAGTATTTGGTTTTGTTTAAAGATGTCTCATCCCCTCCCTCTGAACCCCTTTATAACAAGTCCTTGTGCTTTCATGTCTTTTTGTGTTACTTTGTACACTTAGGTGACCTGCCTGAGCACAGGTAACCTTATTTGTCCTGACTGAAATGGCACACCACTAAGGGATAAGACTTTCCATTCCCTAGCAACCACTACCTACATACCTCAGAGTGTAACTTAAGACAGTAACTGTTTTTTGTTAGCTGTGCCAAAAGTCTTGAGTGCAGTGTCAAAATCGATGACTTCGATTTGGGGGCACTGTTTGAGAAATTTTTTTTTTAAAGTAGTTGAAAAGTTCTTATCATGTGTTACAAATTTTACTGTTGGTCCTAGAAGATAATTTTTCTGAATTGAGAGTCTTGAGTTTTGCTAGGTGTGATGCTATGCACCTTTAATCCCAGCACTCCAGAGGAAGGTGAATCTCTGAATTCTATTCTGGCTAGGGCTGCACAATGAAGTCTGTATGTGTGCTTGTCAGCAGCATGCTGGGTACTGAGAACTGAACCTGGGTCCTCTGTAAAGAGCAGGCGGTCAGTGCTTGCTCTAAGCCATCTGCCAGAGTTTAGAAATGTGGCCTGTCTTGCATGTCTACTACCTTGAAGAGTAGGCATATCTCAGCTGTTTGATGCACCTCTCTGATTTTCAAGCCTTAGGGGAATAGTGATGATAATTGCCTCTGAGAATTAGAATAAAGAATACTATTGGTGTTGGCCTTTATCAGTGTTAGGGCTGTGTTTGTGTGCTCCTTTCCTGGAACTTGTGTAGTCCAGACTTGAACTAATTTTTTATATTTTTCTAAAAGTGCTGTTTTACAGGTGGATGCCACCATTTGCAGCTAAAGTGTTTCTAGAGAACTTAACATGTTTACAGAAACTGCTACCATCATAATGGTGTACTTTTTATCACCAAGATTAGAAATCTTAGCAAGGTAGGTATGTAGGAATGCCTTGGGTGAAGAAAGACAAAGAGAATGGCTACATTCCTTTTGCAGACAGTGTTTGTTGGTGGGGTTAAAGTCAGACACTTAGATCTAGAGAGTGGGAAGATCTGCAGAAAAGTGGGATTGCTACAGACCTGGACTAAGATGCAGAGAATACAGTCATCTAGGAAGTACTTCAGGCTGTCTTTCTGGTTTGTTTGTTTGTTTTTTGTTTGTTTTGTTTTTTTTTGTGATGTTTTTGCATTTTCTGGATTTAACCAGTATTCCTAGTACATTTTTGAAGGTCATGTGTGGTTGTACTGAATTTTTTAATGGGACCTCATGGGTTCATACCTCATCTCCACACAGATGGGGCTTTAGAAAAGTCTGGGGCCTGGGAGGTATCGCAGTAGGTTAAAGAGCTTATGTGTGGCACAGCACTGACCTGACTACTAAGTTGTCAGAAACCCGTGTGTAATTGTGCACGCAACCTCAGTACTCCTGCCACAAGAAAGGCAGGAGACCCCCCCCCCCCCCAGCTACAGAGGCAAACAGGACACCACGAGGTTCCACATGTGCTATTGCAAAGCTTGCACTCACTGTACAAATGTTTTAAAAGTCCCTTGTCAAATGGGAAAAATACTGTTACTGAAGGTTGTGTTTCTGGTTATCTAGAAAGCTACTTGGTAGTGTAGACAAAATTACCTTGCCCAACAGTAAAGAATAGAAGATAGCTTCTGCTCTTGTACATCCATTTAACATAAACTGGTCTGAAGATCAGTTTATCAGAAGTGCAGAGTAGGTTTCTTCACCAGGTCATTTCAGGGCGTCAGACCCATGGTCCTTCTGAGGGAAAAAGTTGCCTTTAACATGAACACTGGTCCATACTTTCTTAAAGAGGACAGAAGACGTGGCTCAGGTAAACAGCACTGGCTGTTCTTCCGGAGGACTGGTGCAGTTCTCACTGCTCATACAGGAGCTCACAACCATCTGTAACTACAGTCTTGGGGTCTTTTGGAGGCCACCAAGCATGCGTGTGGTATATGGACAGACAACCACACATGTAAATAAGAATTTAAAGTTGCCACTATTTTGTGATTATGGGGTCAGAGTAGTTGAACTTAGTTCATCAGGGTTGGTGGCATATCTCTGATACATTTCACTAGACCCTACTTCCCTTAAGAGTCCTGTGGTGACACGGCCAGTGGAGATAATTTCTCCATCTCAAGGTCCTTAATTTAGCACATCTGCAATCTCGTTCTGTATGGTCTTCACGGGCTCTAGGATTTGAAGCATGGGAATCTCACAAGGGAAATTGATCTCTACTTAACTCCCAAACTGCCTTGTCAGTTGTAAGCTTGAGTCTGAAGCTTAGGCCTTCAAATACAACGTTGAACCCCTTCTCACATCTGAAACTTGCTCTTCCTAGCCCACTCAGTGTAAGGCTTGACTCTTCAGCCACTCTAAAGTAGCATAAAAGATCCTGGTGCCTTGTAGCTACTTCACACAGACACTCCTATGAATTACCAAATACGGAAGTTCTAAGAAAAACTTATGGGCTTAGAGAGATGGCTCAGAGGTTAAGAGCACAGTGCTCTTCCAGAGGTCCTGAGTTCAATTCCCAGCAGCCACATGTGGCTTACAAACATAATGAGATCTGGTGCCCTCTTCTGACATGCAGGCAGAACACTGTGTACATAATAAATAAATCTTAAAAAAAATGAAAAGGAAAATTTATGTCCTGTTTAGTTTTTTGTCAACTTGACACTAGCCATTTTTAGAATTAGGTATCCTCAACTGAAAAAACAAGAAAAATGACTCTCCCTCAACCAGACTGGTCCTTGGGCAAGCCTGTGATGCATTTTCCTTGATAGATTTGGGAAAGCCTAGGTCACTGTGGGCAGTGCCCTCCTGTGGCACTTGTCCTGGATGTTTTTTATACTTTGATAGGGCTGAGTAAGCCAGTGAGCAGCATTCCTCCATGAGCTCGGCACCAGTTCCCGCCTGATAGAAACCCTTTCCTCCCCATGTTGCTTTTGATCATTGTGCTTGTTACTGCAGTGGAAACACTAAGACCATATACTACAAATACAAAAGGAACCTTAAGGTTATTTTGATTCTATTCCTAAAAGCCAGCTGCGTCACATGCCCACAGTTCTTCATGTGCATTTAGTATATGCATAGAGGAGTACTTAGAACCATTTGCACTTTTTTCTGTCAGCGTTTACTTTATTGTACATGAGCTAGAGTGCTGTCAACTCACTTTGTCCAAACATGTCTTAGGGTTTTTTTGTTTTGTTTTTTGAAAACTGATGCTGCTGTACCCTGAAGCAGAACAAGGGTATTGACCACTCTTGGAAAAGTTCAATCTGACAAGTCTGCCGTGGTCCAATCACATGAGGTTAGAAAATAAGTCTTTTACTGAGTGTGATGGTACATGCCTTTAATCCTAGCACTCTGGAGGCAGAGGTCTGAGTTTGAGGCCAGCCTGGTCTACAAAGCCAGGGCTACACAGAGAAACGCTATCTCAAAAGAAAGGAAAAGGCCTCTGTACTTTGAAGAGTCCAAAGAGATTTCACACATTACTTCCTCTTCATTGCGCTGTCAGGATTAAGGCATGACATCAATAGTTGGCTCGGCATGGTCTCATGTTACCAAGCCTGATGCCCTCAATGTGTTCCCCTGAACCCATAGTAGAAGGAGAGAACCCATCAACTCCTGAAAGTTGTCCTCTGACCCTCACACATGCGCATGTGCACGCAAAGAAGTAGTTTTAAAACAAACTTTGTTAATACATAGGAAATTCAGACAGCTTTGTGAAACGACTTCAAGTAAACACTGTTCTTTTATAAATCTTTAAAAAGCCAGATGTGATGTCACACACCTGTAATCCAAGTACTCAGGGAGGCAGACACATGCGGATTTCTGAGTTCCAGGCCAGCCTGGTCTACAAATCGAGTCCAAGATAGCCAAGGCTGTCTCAAAAACCAAACAATCTTTATAAAGCTGAATCGCTGAAGCAGTTACCACTGTCTTGCCCCTAATTTTCTTTTTGCCAAGAAGAAACCATTTCCAGTCCCAGTCTAAGCACCGAAGCATCCAATGTTTCCTCATCTGCCTTCTGTCTTGGTTCGTACTGCTTCCCAAACAGATTCAAGATATCCCCAAATTCTTGAACGCCTTCATTTGTCCCTCAAAAGCAGCATGTGGGTGCTTGGCACTAGCACGGACTAGACCAAGCCATGTACATGGGACTGCCTTCTTGAGGCCTCCAAGTGGCCACGGCACTGGAAGCTCACGGTGCCTCCCAACAATCCGATGAAGCCACTGCTCTGGAGAACAGTAGCATTTCAGATGCCAAAACTCCAGTAACTGGCAGTCTGTAGGTATTGGGTATTTGGTGGTAGGGGATAATAAGAAGTGGAGCATGAAGTATGGATGTGTGGACACGTGTATGTACGTATTTATAGATATATAGAAAGCTGTAGGGCAGAGTTACATAGGGGAGATGGTGTGTAATAAAACATGTTATGAAAACACAATTCAGGTAATATAGATTGGAAAATTTTACGAAGGAAGTTAGAGATAGTTTTCTATTAATACTCATGTCTCCAAGACATGAGGTGAAATATTTGTGAGCTGCTTAGCCTCAATAGGTAGTA